ATTGTTATAAAAGAATTTTGAACTTGTTATCCTTATGTTGTAAGCCGCCTAGAGTGGTCAAAATGACTAGATAGGCGGGGTATAAATACAATAAATAAATAAATAAAAATAAATAAAATAATAAACATCTTCAATGTGAATAGAAGTGAGAGATAAAATAAATCGCACTTTTAAGTGCAAACCTGACCAACTGCTCCAAATTCACCTCTCCGGACAGGCCCATAGACTGTTTAGCTCGGGGGGAGGGGGGAGATGTCTTCAATTAGTCTAAAAGGCAACCACACTAGACACACTCACATTGTAATACCTCGAACATGTCTCTGAGCTATTAAAACTTGCCGCAACTCTTGCTCCACAATGTAGGCCCGAAATTTAATCCCCCTCCCCAGTCCCCAAGCTGCAAGGATTGCATTAACAAATAATGGAAGTAATTAATCTCATCTTTTCATTCAAAGTAGCTAGACAAATGGCAGTGGTTCAACTCCCAAGCTTAATGTTTCTTTGTTTAACATGTATTTTTGTTACAACAGATGGATGAAGCTGGCATCTTCCAGGCATGTTGGACTACAATCCCCCAAGACAGCCAGTGGTTGGGCCAGATGGGAGTTGTAGTCCAAGATACCTGGAGGGCCCTGGTTTGGGAAAGAGTGTCGTACATCCTTCTGTGCCGAACTGCAAAATTCCGTTTGAAGACTTTTTGCAAGGCAGAGCAAATCGTGTCGGAAAACAGTGAGCCCCCAAGAGTGGAACATACTTAGCCTGAATGTCGATCTTCAGTTTGGAGTCCTGCTCTTCTGAAACCAGAATGTATTTCCGTTCTGGGACAATCGCCACCTCGAAATGGGGGAGCACTGACGAGAGAAAGAAGAATGCAGAAAACTGAATAGATGCTGGTTTCAACAGAGATCTTTCCCACCTTCGCCTTGACTAGCAAGCTGCATGCAGTCTCCTAGGGCCTGAATAAGCCGGGGCTCCCCAGCAAAGAAATGATTCAAAAAAATGTTACAGTGCATTTTCTCACAGAAGCTCCGGCTTTGAGTCTAAGGTATCCCACTCATGAAGCTACCACTGTCTCCTGCAACTGGGAGCAAGCAGAGCCTCATCCTAGCCGTCTTGGCCATGTGAAATTATTCCTTGCCCAAGTATGCCTGACTCTGCCCAATGTCAGAGATATTTTCTTAGGATGCACACTAGCACCCTCTGTGTCTAAATGATCCAAGGAACGTGCAAGCTAAAGAGGATTTTTTGTTGGAGTTGTTTCAACCTTGCATGCTGCCTTTAGTAGTTTTCGCAGGGAAGGACCTTTATGGGCTGGAGTGATTGCCAATCTATCCACTACTAACCAACTCTTCCTTCCTGCCTCTGAACTGAAAGACAGCCCCGCCTCTCTGCTCAGTGCTTTCCCCCTCTCCAGCGTATGCTGGAAGCAGCTGTTTTATTGAGGTCCGTGGCTGAAAGCAGTCAGGTTTGACAGTTTGCTGTTTGTTCTGTACAACTGTAAGCAATTAAATCTTTTATTTTTGTCTTTGATTAGTGTCTCAGATAGAGTTACTGAGACTGTAAGTGCCAGTTAATGAGAAAAAAAGGGGTGGACTAATCTGGGGAACACGAAGCTATTCTGCTCTGTGAATCCATGTGCAGTACTTCTACTGTGCAGCTAGACGTATTTACACAGAAATTCAAAACTCTGCAACAGCATTGGTTGATTAACTGGCATTTGGTTCAAGACTGAACACAAAACGCACTCGCAGCACTTAAATTCCAAGAGGTAATAAACATTACACAGAAAGGAAAGGGGAGACAAGGGGAAAAGAAAAATAACAACCACTCCCGTCTCCAGTCAATCATAAAATGTGGTCTGAAAAATTAAATAATATGGGATGAAATAAAGCCAAGTATATAATATTTTAGCTATAGGCCAGTTTCAGTCACAGATGGGGGAAGATGAATCGCCAAGACTTCTCATTTGATTTTGAGTGCCTGTACTTCAGATATTGTCAAGGGGGGGGCTGATGTTTGTGATATTATATAGTGTTAACATTAATTTTTAAATTTATGTTTTATATTTTTTTTGCTGTGCACCTCCCAGATGAGCTAGGGGCTAGATCAAATCAGTCAGTCAGTCAGTCAGTCAGTCAATGTTATGTCAGACAACAGCCAATAAAATCCTGCCTGTATTAAAGGGAGAGGACAGGGGAGCTGAAGGGAACGGTCTGTTTCTAGCTCACAGCCAGACGCCCCACCTGTTGAACTGCCGGCTGATACACAGGGCCTTAGAGAAGACGTATAGAAGGGGAAGGAGAAACAGTGGCTTCTAAGACATACCATATTTTTTCACCTCAAACTCGGTGGACATGTTAGAACTCAGCGTGTTGATAAACTGGGCCGTGATGCGCCACATGCCAGGCCTGGATGGGAGTGGGGGAAAGACAAAAAAAAGAATAATGAAGTGTGAGCTGGTCCATTGTTGTATTTCTAGAGCTGCAACTCCTTACAATACTGTGAAAATTCTTGATATTGTTCCCAAAGCCCCAAGGACTATGGGGACCTCAGCACCTACTGTCTCCAAATCCCATTACCCCAGCCAGCCCTGCTGGGCAGACCCGATATCACTTCCGGGCAAAAACTTACTCAGCAATATCAGGGATGGACAGGTGATCTTTTATAATGAAATCGTTGGACTTGCGATCGACTTTCCGGACCTGAAGACCCCGTGGGTTCTGACGGAAACACCACGATCGGAAGACAGGCAGCGGAGATTTTAAAAGGAAAAGAAGAACGTGGTTAAAAGCAGCTGATTCACCGCATCCAGTCCTGTAACTGAGTCCCAATTACAACCTCCTTTTTTCCTGAGTTTGCGAACAAGCTGCTCTTTACCTGCACAATGACTCGAACAGGTTCAGTGGTCGGGCGCAATTTGTGATCCAGGGCGAAGACCCGGAAATTGACTGGAAGAGAGGAACCAAAAAATGATCGTGAGAAAAAGAGAGGAAGATAAGGAGCCATAGCTAGAAAGACAGAAAATCTCTCTGTGACAATGACTGCAGCTTTTGGTCAGGGCTGGATCAAGGTCAATCACCCTCTAAAGCAGTGGTTCCCAACCTTTTTTTCACTTGCATACCCCCTGGCAGCCCATTTAGCATAAATTGTGCCCTTCCCATTAGCAGAATGTTGTAATTAATAAGGTTGCTACACTTATAGGACTAACTGAGGTGCCCACTTATATATATACAGTGGTACCTCGACTTACGAACTTAATCCATTTTGGAACAACGTTTGTACATCAAAAAGTTCGTAAGTCGAAGTACCATTTCCCATTGAAATGCATGGGAACGGAATTAATCCGTTCCAGCATTTCAAAGGCAAAAAGGCAGGGGGAAAGGGCTGGAAATTCCAAGTTCCCACCCTTTCTCCCTGCATTTTTGCCTTCGGAGCTCTCAAAGGGCTTTCCGCCTGATATCGGAGGAAGACCTTTGAGATCAGGGCGCCAATCGCGGGGGCAGGGACCCGCAGGGCGGTCTCCCATGGTGGCAGGCAAGCCCTGGGAGACCTCCCTGGGGGTCCCCACCACCATGATCGGCACCTTCGGAGCTCTCAAAGGGCTTTCCCCCGGACATTGGGGGGGAAAGGCAGGGAGAAAGGGCCAAAAAGGCAGGGAGAAAGGGCGGGAAATTCAAATTTCCAACCCTGTCTCCCTGGCTTTTTGCAGGGAGCCATTTACGAACAGCTCAGTTGGCAAAAAAATGGCATTGACTTGCAAATGGAGCCTCGACCTTGTTCGTAGGTCGAGGCTCCGTTCGCAAGTCGATGCCAGTTTTTGCCAACGGAGCCGTTCATAAATCAAAAAATTCATATGTAGAGACGTTCGTAAGTTGAGGGTTGACTGTATATAGCCGTTCGTAAATCAAAAAATTCGTATGTAGAGACATTCGTAAGTTGAGGATTGACTGCATATATAAATAACAAAGTGAGGGAATGGGGCTTTTCTCAAGGTTAAATAACAAAGAAACCCCACTCAACCATTAATTTCACAACTTCTGATTTTTATCCTGTATGTGCCTTTTCCTGCCATTATTCTTTTGTGTATGTGTACCCCTAAATGTCCTGGCTCGTACTCCTGGGGTTATGGGTACCCCAGATTGGGAATTGCTGTTCTAAAGCCTTTTGCAGATACAGTGATAACCCGCATAGCAAGCACCCCATTTAACGATGAATCTGCATAGTGACACTTTTTTGCGATCACATTGCAACGTTCTCAATGGCCAAAAATTGCATTGCGATGATCGGTAAGCGTTTTGCTTACCGATCTTCGCATTGCGATATTTTAAAAACAGCTGATCGGCAGTTCCAAAATGGCCGCTGGAAAAAATGGCCACCCACAGCGTCGTTGCACGGTTTCCCTCGCATACCGGGCGGCGAAAATGGCGGCGAGTTTTTCCCCCATAGGAACGCATTAAACGTGTTTTAATGCGTTCCTATGGGGTTTTTAGTCCCACATAGCGACGAATCCGGATAGCGACAATTTTCTCAGAATGGATTATTTATTTTCTCAGAATGGATTATCGTCGCTATGCAGGGCACCACTGTACTAGGATGGGGAAACATCTGGGTTTGCTTCCTCAGAGCTGCAGTTGTGCCTCGCTATGCAGGGCACCACTGTACTGTAGTAGGATGGGGAAACATCTGCATTTGCTTCCTCAGAGCTGCAGTTGTGCTAGAAATAGATGCAGAGTATTATTTACTTCATAGGCCTTCCCCAACCCTGTTCTTTCTCTGTGTGGGGCCAAAGGGCAACTTGTGCAGCACACAAGACACCGAGGGCTCCACAGAGCAGCTCCCATGGCGCTCCCCAATAAGAGGTTTTTAAAAAGACCAGTTTGGGCTGAAATTAGACAACCGCCTGGCAGATATCTTCACTTGTGTTCCTGCATCAAGCAGAGGGTTGGACTTGATGACCTTATAGGCCCCTTTCACATTCACTATTCTATGATCTATGAAATAGCTAAATGACCAACAGTTTACCCAGAAGCTTCTAAGGGAGGCAACTTGACATTTTTACCTCCAAATATTTTTTTCCAGAGTGGGGAAGTTAGGGGATGTTCAGTTGAGGCTTTAAGAGACCCCACACACTTCAAAAAGGCCCACCCCAGGCTCCAACAAAGAGAAAGCAATTTTTAACATAAACTAGAAAAAAAAGGAATCCCTCCATTATTCTTCTGCCCTTATCTCCAACACAGGAATGGGAAAAAGGAGGCAGAGGAAAGTTCTCCTTGGAACAGGAATTCTGGTATGGAGAAAGAGAAGAGCCTTATTTTTCATAGAAATCATAGAAAAGTGAAGTTGGAAGGGGCCTACAAGGTCATCAAGTCCAACCTCCTGCTCTAGGCAGGAAATGCAATCAAAGCTTTTGACAAGACACATACAGAAAGTGTGGAATCCACGGGAGATTGGTTCCAAACCTCCAATAAGATGCCCAAAACTCCAATAATAGTGAACCTTATATACAGTATTGCCTCTGGTTTCCTCTAGTGGCTGGTTCTGGAAATTACATTATAGAAATACAATTTATTTCTGGATTTTTTTCATTTAATAATTTTGAAATATTTTCAGACCATGGATAAGTGAAACTGTGGACACTGATCTTGTGGATACAGGGGTTCGACTGTATAGTGAACTTGCCTGAAAGTTGTTGTACTTCTAAAAGTTGTATGTTCTCACCCTCAACCACCCCCAGACATTTTGCTTCAACTCTGCCCCTGTGTCTTTGGCCACCTCAACTGCTGGATTGCTTCCTCTTCAACTCTTTCTAAATTGGAATTTGGCCCTTGGTACAAAAAAAAAGAAAAGAAAAGAAAGGGGGGGATTGTTTCCCACCACTATGTAAAGAAATCAATATAAATTTTGCGTGAAGAAACTGAGAAGATGTTGATTACAGCAGGTCTGGGATAGTCAATATAAATTTTGCGTGAAGAAACTGAGATGTTGACTACAGCAGGTCTGGGATAGCTCATTTAATATATAAAAGGGATTAGGAAAATAGGGTTAAACAGTCTAGCCTTTTCTCTGAGGAAAGTGCGCTTTGCTCACCTGCTGGTTATTTGCTGCCCTATGAAGTCATGCCAAGAAGGATTACACTCTGTACATGCCCCAGATCTACACTACCACTCCGCTAAAGTGTGAGTATGAAGTAGTTTAAGCTTATCTTTCATTGTTTTCTGGTGTCTTTCTCTTGAATGGCCTTAAGACGGTCTCGTCAGGATTTTGGGAAATCTTTTTGTAACTTTTTAGAATGTTTGCCTTTTGTCCTTTAAATCTCCCCAACCTTTTCTTTCATAAAATGCAAAAAAAAAAAAATTCCTTTCAAACAGCTTTCTGCATTTGGGGCCTAGAGCAGTGGTTCCCAACCTTGGATCTCCAGAGGTTCTTGGACTACAACTCCCAGAAATCCTTGCCACCAGCACAGCTAGGGGTGAAGGCTGCTGGGAGCTTCAGTCCAAGAACATCTGGGGAGCCAAGGCTGGCAACCACTGGCACAGAGGTACTAAAACTAGGTCTTGCCAACACCAAGTTACCAGGATTTCAGGTGTTTGTGTGGGTGTGGCAGGAGCTCTAGCCTTCCAAGGGAAGCAGTAGATTTTTGGTTTCACCTCCCCGGAAGCCCTGCCAAGTCTGAAGGGAGTGCAGTGTGTGGGAATAACAGGGTTCCTGTAAGGTCCCCAGCTTTCCCTGCTGTTCTCTCTGGGCTCATTTTACCCCAGAACAAGCAAGGGGGGATGCTGTGGCCAAGGAGTTATAGTGAGTAGCTATAGTGAAGGACCCTGATCAGGAAACAGGAAGGAGAGAGAAACAGCGAGTCTCACCTTTCTGCCGAGGAGTATAGATGGGTTTGTCAGTCTGTACAAAGAGGTACCCCCTTTGGGTGCTCCAGCGGAGATTGAGGGTTTGAATCCCATTGGGGGAAGGAAGCATTTGGCTGCGGGCAACCAGCTGGATGTAGCGATCCCGTCGCTGGAGAGTCAACCCACATTCGTCAAAGAGCTGTTGAGTCACCTGCAAGGAAGGAGAAAAAGGGTGAAAGGATGTAGCGATCCCGTCGCTGGAGAGTCAGCCCACATTGGTCAAAGAGCTGTTGAGTCACCTGCATGGAAGGAGAAAAAGGGTGAAAAACTATGAAAAAGAAGAGCCCTGGAGACAAAGCACTATTTCACCCACATTCACGCTGGGCAAAGTCAATCAATCAATCAATCAATAAAATGAAAAGACTACGAAAAAGAAGAGCCCTGAAGACAAAGCACTATTTCACCCACATTCATGCTGGCCAAAGTACAGTCGTGCCTCACTTTACGATTGCCCCGCATTATGACGAAACTGCATTACGACAAACTTTTTGCGATAGCAAAACAATGGTCTAACTGGGGTTTTTTC